ATGGCACCAGTAGCCTCTAAAACTATATCACCTCTATGACCTACATGTAATCTATGACCTGAGTAGCCTAAGTGATCATAATAGCCCCTATAACTACTTAGTGTCTATGACTTGCTAAGACAATATGTCATTAGTATTTTCTACATACTACATAGCCTGTATTGACTACAAAATTGACTTTTTTTTTTTTTTTTGTCCTGAATATCCTTTATGGCTTGTTTGGTCTCTGTGTCCTCTGACTTGCATAGCACTTGTGACCTAAAAAGTCTTTATTTATTTTACTCTTTTTTTTTTTTGTATTGCTGTCATGTGTTACAGTGACGGTGGACTCTAATCCCACATGGATTTTGTGGCAGGTGGTGTCAGAAGGCAATAGTTTCTTGCCATCCATATATACCTTACTGGATGAGTGCCCTCTAGTGGAGATCACAAAGGTACTGATGGGCAGAGTGGATGTGCTGTCCTGGTGAGGAAAGGAGGTCATGACACATGTGCCTGTCCTTGACATGGTGCCCATGCACGTTGACTTGCATTAGGTTCTTTGTAGACCCCAGATAATGATCAGCAACCATGTTATAAATGGTAGAGAAGTGGTGAATATCAGCAGATGTAACAGAGGCCAAAGGTGGTAGACCTATTAAGTGAACTTTAATATCTTTCTTCAAACTAGGAATCTAGGAGAAAGCATGAATTAGTCATGGATTAGAGTGAGTGACATGGATACTCCTCTGGTGATGTAGTTCTGTATCACATGCGAGAACTGGTAATTATGGGTTCCTCCAAAGAAAATTCATAAAAATCAAAAATAAAGATTTTAAAACTAGCCAGGTATGGTGATGAATAGCTATACCAGTGAACTGAAAGCTGAGGACCTCAAGTTTGAGACAACTTGGTTGAACAGTCTCAAAAGCTGGGGGAGGGGTTGGGGGTATATCTTAGTGGCTATGTGCGTCTGTGTTTAATCCCCACAAGTGAGAAATAAATACTAAGAAAGATTTGAAAACATATACATCAGAAGTATTTTTATGCAAAATTTCACCAAATCTTTATCTCAGTTCACTAGTAGAAAAGGTGGGACAGAGTACTCTGGATTCAGGCTCTCACCTTTTGTCATGCTACCATGCAAGGCAGCTGGGGAATTTGACACTGACAAAAGTGGGGTTGGGAGCAGGAAGAATTTTGCTCTCATTTCTGTGCAGCAGCTTCAGCACAAGTAAAATTTCTACTCTAATCCAAATGAGCATGTATTCCCTGCTGCCTCCCTAAGGTCTGTCTGAGGTCAAAGTGACTGGGTGGAAGTCCCTTTGAACTGTGTATAGAGAGGAATAAATTAGGAGGAATGTACCTGTAAAATTCGCTGCTTAAATCTTGATGAAAAAACTTTTTGGGATCTCTCCACTAAGCTG